CCCACTGCAGATATCACAAACAGTAACGACAGATTTATAGTCACTATACCAGCAAACGAGAGGGCGTGTGGAGAGGGGTACTGGAGCGCTGCTAGGGTAGTCTTCTCCACCAGCTGTTGCAGGCTCAGTACTGCATCGATTGGTGGAAAGGCTGCGCTAGCCATGCTCCACTCCACATCCCCTAACGCTTCTCCTCGTATGCAAGGATCTGATTTTACAAAGGCACGTCGTCAGGTGCAGAAAACGCAAGGCAAAGGTGATTATGTTTGTGGTTTTTTTTTCTTCCCAACAAGGTAATGTAAGCAGTGCTCTCACCCGAAAGTTTCCCCATGAGAAATCTACTTATTACCGCCCAGTCTGGCAATAAATGGTCAGGAGCCGTCGAACTGGTACCAGCATTGTCATGAGCAGCCGAATTACCGAGTGAATAAAATTAGGCGTAGTTTTACGGTGGTGCAAAGATGTGTGCATCACGTCCTGTTCCTCTCGCACTTTCCCTATTATCGCTTTCACACGAATTCGCTGTTCTTGCTGATCTTATTTGATGCTTTTCAATTTTCCAAATTTCTTAGAAGTTGGACTTCAGTGGTTCAGAGAAGTCACTGTTATCATCACGCCTTCGGCCATTGTGTGGCTGGCGATTCCAGAATCAATAGCTTTTTTTGTTGCTCTAACAATACTATTAGTTTTGCTGGAGCAGCTGTAATGGTTTCAAGAAGCTATTGTTTTCGAAATATTCATGCTTTCTTTTGTTTCCCTTTTCGACGAGTTTCACACTAGCGATCAATTGCTAGGCGACATTTTATTGAATGGTTACCGAACATCTCTGATTTTTGCAGACTAGGCGCTCGGTGCCGTTTGATTGGGAGAGTATGTCGGAACATGCAAACAGTGAGACTGGAGGAGCACCACCAGCTAAAAAGATGTTCGCTTTTAGGCAGTCAGCGTTAGCCGCAAAGGCTGATCAATTGTGGAGTCAAAGTGAGTCATTTTTCATCCGGTCTTCAGTCAAGGGCGCATTTTTTTTATTTCCCGTTTGGAAAAGTTTTCTTGCAGTCTAGGGAGCTCTGATTCCTCTCGAGTCCTTTCTCTAGCGTATCAAGGTGTGGTTTGAAGAGGACATTGTCCTACGCCTCATAGCCTGTAGGAACTTTACTGGGAGCGAGTTAGGGAATGAGCGATAACAAAGATTTGATTTTCTTGTTACGGAGTAGCGGCGGAACTGCGAACAGCTCACGTCTTGCCGCTAAGGAGATTCTCGCGAAAACCTCGAATTTCTTCTGATGCGATACCCTGGGGCAGGGGAGGTAAGGGGGTAGCGCCAACAGAGCATTATATTCGAAAACAGTTTTATGATAACTGTTGTTTACAACGCCGTTCACACTCCGACTGTTGTCCCAAGAATGCTGAGTTATGGGCACAATTCTGGTCCCAGACGGGAGTTTTGCCCATAACTCAGCATTATTGTGATAGCGAAAATGGTAGTTGTATAGGACTTCGATTACGCCACCAAATGAGGAGGATATATGGCTCACACGAAGCGGGAAAAACTACGAAAAGTGAACAACCAAAAAAGTATTGCCGCTCACGGAAAAAAATTCTTGATACCCCACCCCCAGTGGGAGTCAGTCTCCCAAAGATGTTGTATAGTGGTAAACAGGAGATTAGCTGTGGAGCATCTAATCTCACTGTCAGGATCATATTATTACGGCCCTCTCATTCCAGCGACCAGATGCAATCCGCTGCTGAAGACTCCCCATAGTACGACGTGCCCTGAATTCGAAACACTTGTTTCTTTGCTATATAATCTTATCCTTTTTGTATGTAAAACTCAACTGTTTGTCGAGTTGCTCAAGAGGATAGCAGTGGTGGTTATCGGTTGTATTGAGTTGGCCCATGAGGAATGGCGTTTTTTTTCTTACAATTTTTCTATATGAAATGAGGATCGTTCCCAGTATTCTCTATGCTTTTGGATACAGAATTTTCCACTCTATGAGGACAAAGTGAATGTCTTCCTACTAATTTGTTTATTTTTGTCGATTTTCATTCCATTGAACGAAGTGTAGGGTCGACAAAAATGTGAGTTTTTGACAACAACTTGCATTTTATCTCGGCCCTCAAATTGCTGTGAAGCTCATGACTTGGCATATATAATATTTCTGAGGAAAGATGCTCCTTATGACAGCTTGGAGCTGGTTCGAGCGATCAACTGATGGGAAGGTGGTGCTTGATAGCGATAGAAAGCATTCCATGACTTTCTAACGATTCCTCATTCTTTGGCATGAATATCCGTGAATAAAGTGATTCAGTAAGCTCGCAGTTGGACTCAATAGGGGATTCTTTGCTTGTCTGTAAGGTGAAAGTTGAAATCTTCGAATCCCTTGGGTCGTTGTAGGCATTCCTAAGAGATATAGCCTCTTCACCACAACCTAGCAACTGGGTCTGTTCGCTTTTAGGTTTTTAATTAAAGATAGAAAAGAGAGAGTGTCGAAAGTGCTTAATGTCGTCCAACTGACACTCCAGTTCGAGCACTTGAGTATTAGTGCGAAGAGGAACTTCGAAAATAGTAAGAGGACTATCGTATAGGGCGAGAAATTCTTTGGAAAGCATTATAAAACTCGGTAGCAAAACTTTTCAACCTTGGCGCGATTTTTCGAGGAGAAAAGACGCCATTAATTGTGGACCAACCTAACTTTGGTTTTAAAAAAGATGGGAACGGAGTCATCTTGGTTGTCTGCCTTTGTTTACGAGAAGGTTGAGGAAGAGCGAAGCAGAACCCAATGGTGAGCAGTCATATTTCACCGTTTCAAAAGGGTTAGCTAGTTTTGCTACCATCTGTTAAGGTCCGGACAATGCTTTTGTTTATCATCTTAACTCCGTATTTTACTTTTTTTTGCTCATACTACTACTACTTTTGACTCTTCGGGATCCCGGAAAATATTTCCACTACTTCCTGTGAAGACCCCTTTGACTGTAATCAGCGTTCTAGGCAAGTCTGGCTTCGGCTTTGGTATAACACCGTCTACACACGTTCATTTGGAGAAGAAATCACTGGATGATGTGCTCGGAAAGATGGCTGCTGAAAAGAAACTGCGGCAAGAGCAGGAAGACAAAGGTCAACCGATGTTCGTCTTTGGGTCTAAAATTTCTGATCGAGTAGTTAAGGTTAGTATTTTCTCACTTAGGAGCAGAAAATCGTACTAGCTCTACCAACCTTTTTTTTCTCTTCAAGGAGGAAAAGCAGACAGCCTCTTCGAATGGTACTGCCAATGATGGAAAGAACGGAGACGATGCTAAACCGAAAACAGCAGAAGAGCTGTTCAAATATGCTGCTCAACAGGATAAACCTAAGGTATAAGGAAGGAACTTAGGCTTTCCATACCATTCTGGGATTTTCCATAACAAATTGCCTTTAGCACGAACAACACGACTTCATAGCTGAAGCAAAAGAAGCTGCAGAGAAGAAGAAAGAACACGAAAAGCCGAGCACGAGCATAGTTACGGTGACAACTGGTGAAGAAAATGACGTCAATATATTCCAGGTTAGGAATTTGAATTTCGGTTTTTTTTTTACAAAGAGGAACGAAAAACTCAAAAGTGCTTGAAATCCGCTTTTATAAATCATGGGATCTTAGGTGTCGATATCCAGAGGGTACCTTACAATGGGCCAAGTTCTGATGCTCCAAATCTTTGGGGCTACTTCTTTCTCGTGAATGCTTTGACCCGCATTGCCTTTTCCTAGCAATAGCTCACAGTCAGTGTTTACGCATTCTGTAAATTTTGCTGAATTATTTCAGATTTTTGAAACTGCGCTTGGCTCTCTGAATTCGCCATAGCTCTTGGACAGTAGGCTTTACTTAAAACCCACTGTCGCTTTTTTCGGATACCAGAGCAGACTCCGATCGCAACTTCTTGACACTCAGAACTGATCTGACCAATTTATCTGCGAGTAGTGCTTGACTCTTTTAACGTTCCATCTGTTCATAGCGAACACATCTGGCGCTGCGCTAAAGGCTCGGCGCGGAAACACCTCGAATCAGCAAATTTGCTGATATCTCTCTAGAACGGTTCCGTAATCTGAACACGAATTGCACGTCATTCAGGGGTTTATGTTACCCGCAGTGGCTAAAGAGTAGGCAAATTCACCCATAAGGAAAAATTTAAACAAATCTGACCTGGCTCTTGTAAACTAAGGTAGTAATGGGTGAATAGTGCCAGTCGCTATATTGTCTACCCGAGATTGATGTCCGTATGATATGTTTTTATAAAGCAAGTCGTGGGCAATGCTCTCTAACACTTTGCCATGGTGTTCTGCTGGAAATGTGTCCAACTTTACTACCACCTTTGTTTTCAGACTGCTTGCAAGTTACATTCGTTTGATAAAGAAAAGAAGGCATGGGTTGAACGAGGCCTTGCTCATATACGGATAAATCAGAGAAATGAAGATGGTGAAATACACCATCGTATAGGTGAGTTGATCAGTAGTTTCTTTGAATAGTTGTTTTTTTTGTATAAGGAAGTTACTAGTCTTCTTACATTTAACCCCCGCAATAGGCCAGATCCAATCTCTCGGATTCCTCGTTAAATGTCTTCTGCTTTTCCGAATGAGTCCGTTTACCTTGAACAATTTCCACTAGGCATTAGTCATGGCGCACAAGGTCTAATCTTCTGTGGCATAGAACCTTTCATTTTTTTTGTCCTATTCAATCTTTCCAAGTTAATGGTCTATTGGCAAGTGATACGCTCACCCGAACGAAGCGCTAGGGTCAAATCCCGGATTGGCTCCCCGCTCAGAAGAATCAACCCTTCTACCCTTGGGGACGACAAATTTCCACCATATTTGTCTGGGAGGTTGGGAGCACTGACTTGTACATCGGCTGGCCTGTGCAATTTATTGTATGGGCTACACCCCGTTCAATAAGCCAGTGCGATTCTGAGGGGATGTAAAATGCGTGCTGCATCACGTAAAGGGTTTGGTCAACAGCGAGCATCGTTCTGATGAGATCGAACGATCGATTCTCCTCGAACCCCAGCAGAACTGAACTTTCAGGAATTTTTTTTGAGCATGTTTAATTTCAAGACTTCTCCTATAGTGCTTCCATAGGGATGAGCTGCATCCCTTTTGAACTTCTGCTTACTTTGCCGGTTCTAAGGTATTTCGAAAACTATTTCTCGTGCTTTTTTTTACATTGCAGAAATCATGCTATACGGAGAAGATAGAGATGCCCTACACTATTTTGTATGGTAAAGTGGCCCTCAGAACTGTACCGTGGTGGTGACAACAAAGGCTATTTTGCTGTATACTGTTTCCCTTTTGAATAGGAAATTCTTGGAAGTAAGCAGAGTATTTCGAACAAGCTGGGTGGTTTTCAGATCAATTTGGGAATTTGAAGCCCTATTACACAGGCGGATGTCTCTTAGCACATATTTGAATCTGTCTTAATCGGAAATTGTCCTGCAGTCCGTTTCGTTTGCGTTGTCACAATCCGCCCCCTGTGGCACACATGCGCTATCATTTTTCTGTATTTTTGGCATTTTTAATGCTGGTACATTTCATATGGAAAATAAAGAAGTCATAACTGATTATTGGTGCGAAAAAAAATGATAAAATGAAGCGAAAATACCCGCAGTAATCCGAAATTCAGGTCTCTTTGGTTCAGTAAGGTCTAATTTGAAGTGTATATTGGAAATATGGTTGACAGTTTCCTTCTGCTTTCAACGAAACTGGTTGAGATAAACTTGTTTCAGTGGCTCGAACAACGGGTAATCATCGTGTGGTTATTAACTCGAGAGTACATGCGGATATGTTTTTTGAAAGGGTGGATCAGAAGCGATTGAAAATCAGCGCAACTACGCCGGATTCCAATGCGATGCAGATTTTCCTCGTCACTATTGGGTTTTCTGTAAGTTATTATTATTATTATTATTATTATTATATTATTACTGTTGACTCGGTTGACGAACGAGTTGAACCTCTGATGTTCCTTTTCTTATGTGGAGTTTTATGTGACGTTTCCAGAAAACTGCTTTGAATATTGACGAGTTTTGTGCGATTCTCGATGGTATACTCAAAAAAGAAAAAGCGTGCGAATCTCTGAAAAGGAAACGGAAGGTTGGTTTTCTCTACTGTTGTGGTACTGACAATGAGTTACCCTATTTTCTAGGGTGTAGGTCTTTTCTTTCCGTACCCGGGACTCGCCAAGGGTACCAGCAGCCAGCAGTAAACTGTGAGGGGCGGTTGAATAGTTCCAAAACCTTCAAGGCTGGCTGAAGACCGTACGCGCAATAGTTTTACTACGGCAACCTAGCTCTGGTCCTGTTGTTGAGGAGAAAGCCAGATGCCAGCTTATAAGGGGTGCTGTAATTTAAACGTTCGTAATTATTCATCACTTTCTAGCCGAAAAGAAGAACAGGAGCTGAAGGAAGGTGTGCTAAAATGTAAGTGATTCCTCGAGCGGACGGCAGAGTGTCGAATAAAACAGCGGGACCCAGGAAGTTCAGAAAACGAAGCAGCTTGAATGAAGGTGACTCTCGCTAAGGAGCCAAAAAGCAGTGAAGGAAAGGCAAAGAAACGCAAGCAGAAGCTGCAGAAGGAATGAGGGACGGGGGAAGGACATCTAGCGCCTCGAGTCACGAGCAGAGTCGAAGAACAGCCACCCGAGGACTAGAGTGCCTAGTACATGGAAGTAAAGTAACTACGTTTAGTTCTAAGTATATCGATTAGCATTTCTCAATGCATCAACTTCTTACTCTCGATAAATCAGGCAGTCATGCTGGATCGTTAGTAATTGTGCTGTTTATGTTGCTGTAGTTCAGCAGATCCACGTTGCGGCACAAGGCTTGCGCGTGCGCGTCATTCGCACCAGAATCTAGTTGATAGTGGCGCTCCCAGTGAACTAACTAGAGAATATTTTAGCAGTTTTTGCACGTCGCCGCAACGTGGACATGTTGAAATCCTTCTATGCTGATTTCATTCCGCTTCCTTGTCTTGCAGTACTTTCAGAATCTGACCAGTACAGCTCAGCTTCACTTGTATGATCGTGAAGGCATGAGGTATTTGTGGAGACAATCGGCCTATTGTCCAGATTCCCTACGCGACCTGTGCCCCGTTGAAGTGCCTAGACGGGCGCCAGTGTAGTCCCTATTTGTCGCTACGTCTTGCTGCTGAATTGCCCACTCATGGCCGTCAAACATTGGAGATCCCCGACAAGGGATCGTATTTTGTCGCTGGGGAGAGTCGTACTTATCTTTGAGGAAATTGTTTTGAGTTTGATTTTCCGGTTTTCCCTGTTTCAAGTGCGCTGTGTGCCGTCTCCTCAATTTTTTCCCGGAGGTCTCCCAATTTTTTCGTGGGGTCGCACTACAGGTGGAATCGGGGCGTGGGAAGACCCAAAGAAGTCTGGCCATCGCTTTGGCCGACCTCAAGGTGTTCTTTCTTCATCCCATTGAATCCTGTATGTAATCGTGTTGTCCAATAGTCGTCTTCAAATTACATGACTTCTCACTAGGTCTTTAAAACCCGGGCGAACAGCGCTAAATCTGTCCCTTTGCAATGAATCTCCCTGGTCACGGCCTCCTGGTTAGGTTCTGGAAACTTTCTTGATCCATCGCTTCCGCTGTGTGACCCATCGCCCACGTCGTGATATACGATAGCTGTCACTGATCCATTGCTGTTCGCGTGAGAAGTGAACGCGCGCTCTGATATACAGCCTACATTGGTTACTTTGGTATAGTCGTGTTCGCTGTGAATGGTGGGGCCTTTCAAGGGGGCTGGATTTGGCGCGGCGCCAACCTCTTTTTCACCAATTGTGGTTGCTCAGTAATTGGTGGAGAACTGGCGCCACGCCAAACTCTGCCCTCTGACGTATCCCACCATCCGCAGAGCTCGTAGCCAAGTGACCGAGCTCGTAGCTGTGGAAATTAGCGCCAATCTTCAACCCTTACAGGCTGGGTCAGTGATTGTGAGCCCCTCATTCGGTAGTTTGATCGTTCATTCATGCAATGTGATTGGAATTCGTTTACGAATGGGTAATTTTTAGCCGTCTACACTTTGTAGTATGCTAT